ACTTAGGTGTTGATGCGAATGTGTAAAGATTGACGGAGCTAATGAAGGAGGTGGCTATGCTAATGCTCCATTGGCACATGTCAATGTAAATGTGTCAGCATGAAGGACCTGCTTTTTTATCCAGATTGAAAAGCGTTGGAATGAAATGGAGAAGAAATGCCAGAAAGCTCGGAGCAGTTCACCATCCGGTCCAGCTCCACCCCAACTACGACACGACACAGTTTGCGGTGCTTTTCGAGATCAGATTAATCTACTTTATGATTTGTACAAAATTGCAAATGATTATTTGGATTTCAAACGTTTCCCGGTATGCTCCATCAACGAATGGTCGAAACGTGTCCAGGTAGGTGGTTTGTGGTAACAGTTTTGTCTTTATTATAAAAATAAATAGCAATAGCTCCGTGTTGACAGCCGATGGTGGTCGCGTTTTAGTGTTTGGTACTTACAAGAAAATATTGCTCATCTGGACAGTTTCTGAAGAGATAGGCTACACACGCTCATTAGGCAGTGAGTACCACAAACCAGTGCACGCAGCGCAGAATCCCGAGGCACTGGTATTACTGTGTTCGAGATATGAAAGCGTCCCAAGAGCTCCGTTTAGATTGTCTAAACAGTTTTGGTGTTCTTGATACGTCGTATGAACAGCTGCTTAACTTACCTGTCGCAGACGTTGTGCTCAATTACCCCTCAAAAGTTTAAGTGACCTGAGTGATTTTGTTAGCGTTTTTTTTTTTTTTTTTCGATCAGAACTTGATTTTTTGAAGGTGGAAAGTGCTAAAGTTACGAGAATCGTTGAATGATTGTTGTGGGGATCATTTGTTAATAATGTTTTCAAAAACACGCATAAGTATATCAGTCCTGTTCTGAGCTGTTCACTTCTGGTTAATACTCACTACCTGTTATGTACATGAGCCGTCTTCTCGGAGGCTGCTTTAGCTATTTTCTCGTAAGTGCCACCACTTTGATACACAGTGTCCATCGGTGACCAGCAAGACCGGCGTCATTGTGCATTTTTACGCGTTTTTTGCAGCAATGCAATGCGAAAAACGCATATTGACGAGAGGTGTCTGTGTGTCCGTGTGTCTGTGTGTCTGTATGTGCGTCTGTCACGCACTTTGATCTCAAATTGACGAGAGGTTGTCTGTGTGTCCGTGTGTCTGTGTGTGCGTCTGTCATGCACTTTCATCTCAGGACCTGAAAGCTGCGGGGTTGAAATTTCGGGAACTTGATCTACATGCACGTACCGCCCCCAATCCCCAAAATAAAGAAAGCTGCGGGGCTGAAATTTCGGGAACTTAATCTACATGCACGTACCGCCCCCAATCCCCAAAATGGGCGCCCAAACCCGCGTACGAGCCCGCCAAAGTTTTTTTGGGATCAGATCATAACTCGAGGATCTGAGAAGCTAAAAGGCTGAAATCTTAGGGTAGTATCCCCCGCCCAGGTGGGTATTAGTGGGCTCAAACGCAGCCCCCGGGTAAGCGTGTTACTCGCGTATGAGCCCGCTAAAATTTTTTTCGGATAAGTTCATAACTCATGAATCTGAGAAGCTAAAGGAATGTAATTTTAAGAGGATATACCCCGTCCACCTAAGTTTCTTTCAGCTCGAACCCAGCTCTCAC